CTGCACCACCAGGGAGGGCCAAAACTTTTTTTAACCTACACAATAAGTAAATAAGTCATAGTAATTGTTAGAATCTACATAGAACTAAATCCAGTGTTGGTTTGTTAGATCTAGTGTAAGAAAGCACAGCTTTTCTGGTCTCATGAGAAAGCTGAAAAGAGCCATCAAGTGACCAGTTGGATGATCCTAGTTATAGTTCCTCGTCTTCAGGAGATATGAGCTCTGAATTTGAAAGGTTAATGGTAGGTGCAATGGGTTAGAACTCAGCAGTGTAAGCTAGACACAGCTGCATCATTACGAGTTGGATCCCTGTCTCTGGAGCTGACTCACAAGGCACATCAGACCGCTCCTGACCCACCCGCTGCTCCCCTCAGCAGTGTACTTCATCGACCTGCCTGTTTCTGTTCCCCACTCTGTCTCTGGTGAATCCTCTTACCACCCCTGCACCTCTGGCTTGTACCCCAGTTCTGTATGCATAAATAAATAAATCTAAAAAAAAAAGTTTAATGGTGAACATTTAAGTCTTACTTCTTATGTTGAAAGAATTAAACCTAAAACTATATAGACTCTTTATTATGGTAGTCCAGTGGAAAAATTAACTAGTGCAGAAGAGTCCATCTGTGTTTTCAGAAGAATGATTTCAGTTAGTTAAGAGGCATTTGGTTTTCAAGAATCCTTACCTCCTTCACACTCCCACACCTGTGGCCTACACCCCAGTTCTTCTATATAATAAATTAATAAATCTTTTAAAAAAGCAATAACACAGAAATGTCCTTGAAAAAACAAGAAAATAATCCTACTTGCTATTCCATTCAGGTGGCATGCTGGTTACTAGATCCAGATTCTAAGGAGCCCACTCTTCACAGTATAGTTACCAGTTTCATTCCTAATGAACTTCCACTCCTAGAGGGGATAGAGACTGGCCAAGGAATTCAAAGCCTGGGACTGAATGTAAGCATTGAACATTCTGGGAGATACAGAGCATCTGTCGAGGCTATTCTCATCTTTAAGGCTATGAACCAACTCAATTATTTGTTGAAGAAGGAAAACCTTCAAGGTAAAATTAAAGTTCCTGGATGTTTTTGTTACAGACTAAGGATGTTTCTTAATTTAGGCACAACTCTACTCTTGTCTTCTCTATTGCAAAGTGTCAAACTATTTATAAAAAAAAGGATTGTTTAGCTTGCCATATTTTGCCTACCTGAACATTACCATAATGAAGAGAATCAGTACCATTCAGTTTATTGACAATTTCATATTTAAACTTTATCAAATGGTTTTTTTTGTACTTAAAGCTTATCTTTCATGGATTTAACAAAGCTATTTTTTTGGAACTATTAATTATTTTTTCAAGAGGATATTCTTATAGATCATTTTTTCCCCTGAGAAATGTTATTGGGTAATCAAAATACCCAGATTGAGTATTTTGATTTCAGAGAGCACTAATAACTATGGCAGAAGTAATGTAGAACTTCATTTCAGTGTGAGGTATAAACCATGAATTTGTTGATAAATATGTATCAAAAACCACTCATGAATTCACATAGACCAGGATTTGAATCTATGAACCTAGACTATTTCAATTATTATTGATGATCCATACACAGGTTCCTGAATCTCTTAAGTCTGGTTCATAAAATGTTAAGTATTAATTGAGACGGTCAAGTGCCATGTTTGTCAGAGAAGGTGCTCACTTTTGAATTTCTGTTATTTTTATTGCTAGCAGGAACCCTCTGTACTTGTGCTAAAGTTCCCCCAGCAATAAACAAAGACCAGATTTATTCATTTGTTCAGAAGATACTTCCTTAAGTGATGTTAATTAACAGCTTTGGGGAATAGATTCTATAGTATTTAAAATTCATTCTCTCCAAGTCAAACTTAGGCCCACCCAAGAGTGTTAGTGGATGACACATATGCCCAGCAGGGCTGCACTCAAGGACTGTATTGCTGTATGGACACGGCCTTTTCATCTGTCTGGCAGGTCTGTGTGAGGTTATCAGGGTAGTTTGCAGCAACTACTAGTTAATGATAGTGATATTTTTTAACATTTTATAGAAATTTATTGCCTATTACTAGAATGATAAGCTTTCAGTTCCTTTGGGAGAAAACTATTAACTACTTGAAGAAGGGCTTTTTACCTAGTTTTCCCTTTCCAGAAAAGTACAGGAAATTCTCTGGATTTTTTACTTGTAACTTTCATAATTTCAGTGTGCACTGGAAATTTTCAAAATTACGTGAGATGCTAAATGCATTCTTGTATAGTGCTAAGTTTTACTCAGAGAATTGGTAGAATGAAAGTATATGAAAGTTTGGGGGAAAACAGTGAATTGCCCTCAGTTTTATTTGGAAATAATTATTTCAGTATGTGTTTATCTTAATGGATCTCCACCATTTTTCCCCTCTTTATTTCTTTCCTATTGATTGGTTGTTCTAACAAATGATTTTGCTTAATGTCATCTAAGACATAGTACCCTGTTCTTTTCTCATGGATTAATTAGATCCTTTCTTTATAAAGCATTTGAACACATAAGATGATTTTCTGTGTATGGAATAAGTTGGTTTCTGTATTAAAAGTTCTTCAGCTTCACAAAGTAAGTTGTAACTTTCCTTTCTGGACACTGTCATTGTAGGACTATCTATGGTCCTCTTTTTATTCATTATTTAAATCAAATACTAACTGTAAGGTTTCTCTGGTGGCCTGAGCATTAAGTCTCAGTGCTGCCCCCATGAAGGCACACTGTGACAGCCTTAGTTCTATTCAGGCCAGGGGGCAAATATATGGCGCAGCATGTAGCAGAACTCACCCTGCTGCTCCCCACTGTCTCTGGTGAATCCTAAACATCCCCCCCTCCCCGCACGCCCCCACCTCTCGCTGCACCACACACACACACACACACACACACACACACACACACACCTGTGTCCTACACACCAGTTCTTCTACTCAAAAATTAATAAAGTCTTGGGCCCTTTCTGGTAGGGCAAGGTGTTTAAATCACAGCACTATGAAGCTATCTGCAGCCACTGTAGCATGAATTCACTCCTAGCCAGGGAGGTGATCCACATGGCATAGCAGACCTCTCATCTCTCCTGCTGCTTCCCTCAGCAGTATATTTCAGCCAATCTACCTGTTCTGCTCCCCAGTCTGTCCAGGGTGAATTCTCTCACAGCCCCTGCACCTCTGGTCTGTACCCCAGTTCTGGATGCATAAATAAATAAATCTTTAAAAATTTTTAAAAATTAGTGGTCTTAAATCTAACAGTAAATACATCAATAATTACCTATTGTTTCTCCTTTCTTATATATATATATATATATATATATTACTCTCCTAAGTTTTTAATTTATTTTTTAAGATTTACTTATATATAAAAGAACTGGAGTATAGGCCAGCGGTACAGGAAAAGGGGGGAGAGGAGTGAGGATTCATCAGAGACAGAGTGGAAAGCAGAACAGGCAAATAGAAATATACTCTTGAGGGGACCAGCTGACAAGACAGGAGAGCTCTGTGGCACCATGTGGGTCAGCTTCCTGGCCAGGGATCGAACTCATGCTGCAGAGGCTGCCAAGTTTGATAGTGCTAACCTAAACCCCTGTGCCACCAGGGATTTTTAATTTGAATTTTTAATTTAAAAAGGTTTAATATATTTTCTTCTAATTCCAATATTTTTAGTTTTGCTTGTTTATTTTTAAATCAGAACCCTTGTCACACTAGGATTTGCTTTTCTTGCTAAGCATCATGTTAGTAAAGTTATGTCAATTTTTTTATATGTATCTGTCCTTTATTCATTTTTTTACTTAAGGGTAACATCACTCTGAATATGTCAAAGTGTTTTTTTTACCTGTTTCCTGTTGCAGGTTCTTGATTATTTCTGGTGTTGTTCTGGTTTTGCTAAGTTAGTAGGACTAGCCTATAAACTTGGGGTATATTTTTAACTCCTACTTTTATTTTCTTTAACTACTATAAAATTATTCAGGTGTATCTTTTTAATTATGTCTAAAATGAGCTATGTACTTTTTTTTTTAAAGATTTATTTATTCATACAGAACTGGGGCACAGGCCAGAGATGCGGAGGGTGAGAGGATTCACCAGAGACAGAGTGGGGTGTGCAGAACAAGCATATGGATGAAGTACACTGCTGAGGGGAGCAGTGGGCGGGTCAGGGAAGGTCTGCCTCGCCATGTGGATCTCCTCCTGGGCAGGCGGTGATCGAACTCATGTGGAAGTGACTCAAGCCTCTTAGTGCTGTGCTTTAACCCGCTGCACCACCAGGGAGGGCCTGAGCTATGTACTTTTAAATAACTTATCTTTGAATGTGTTTGATGATCCAGATTCTAATTATCAATTCCATTGTCTGGGGGAGGAGGGAGCATGCTAGCCGTTGTCCCTCTTCCCTCTACCCCCATTTCTCATACAGCAGCATGGAATCTGAAAATTCAACTCAATTCTGCCACTTTTTAGCAACAGGTTCTATAGATTAAGGTTCAGTACCAGGTGCAGTTGCAAGCCCAGGTTATAATTACCTGTACTCTGACTGACTGGTTGTAAACCATATTCCCTTGAGTCTTGTCAGTTTGCTGGAATGGCTCATAGAACTTACGAAACTCATGTAGTTACCAGATTGCCAATTTAGTACAAAGAATATAAAGAGCAAATAAACAGCAAGATGAAGAGATGCACAGAACAACATCCTGGTAAAGGAGCTCTGTCCTTCAGTACAGCACAGTAGTAGCAGACTGGCTCCTAGGCCATGTGATTGGTTCAACCTCTAGCCACTCTCCCTCCCTAGAGACTAGGGGGTAGGGCTGAAGGTTCTAGCCTCATTCAAACCTCAATCCCCTGGCAACCAGCGTAACGTTAGGTGCTTTCCATAAGTCATCTTCATTAACATAAATCCTGTTGTGGTGTAAAGGGACTTGCTTTGAATAACAAGATAAACCAGTTTACTTTTATGGCCCTGAAGGGCTTTCAGGAACTGAAGATGGACACCAAACTTTAGTCAGGAAATGCCTCCTTTTCTCTTCTCACTAGGCTTTGTATCGGGAACTGTGTCAAGAACTGTAGATGCTGGGTCCTCCCTAGTGAGGTAGCAGGTTAAAGCACAGCGCTATGAAGAACTCCACAGTTACTGTAGGACAGAGTTTGATTCCTGGCCAGGGAAGTGACACACATAAAGTGGAAGACCTCTCCTGGCCCCGCTCACTGCTCCCCTCAATAGTGTATTTCGAGTACATCTGCCTGTTTTGCTCCCCACTCTGTCTCTGGTGAATCTTGTCTCTCACATACACACACCTCCCTCTTCACCCCACCCTCCGGCCTACCCACAGTTCTTGTATGCATAAATAAATAAATCTTTAAAAAAGAACTGTAGATGAAGAAGCATATATGGGAAATATATTTTGGTCATCTGAATGACCAAATTTACATATTTCCTGTAAATTACAATACTTAATTCCATTCCTTGGTCTTCAAACATGGACCCCTTTAGAAAGGGTTCATACCTGTTTCAACATTTATACTTGGTGTAGCATTTATAAAGCAAATATAACAATGCAAATATAACAAAACAATAGAAATATACATACATGGCTGTTATTTGGAGAAACTTGCTAAGACTCCAGGAGGGGAATGGATGAGGATGATCCAGTTGGCACATCTTCACTGATTAGCTTATGCCTTGTAGGACATGACCCAAAACAAGTACAGTATGAAACTATTTTTTATTTACACAAAAAATACTGGGACATGATCAGATACCATCTGCCCTATCCCAGATCATCTCTGCAGAACAAATGGACCAAGCAAGACCCAAGCAGTATCTTGACAAACTGGCAGCTTCTCCAGATAACCCTCCTCACCAGATTTAACTGCCAAAGCCCTAGGAGCTTATATGGTCAAAAATTCATCCCTTTACCTGGTCAAAATCCCCAACAGTGCAGAAGTTCCAAAAGCCTGACAGAAGCTTCAACTCTGCCCTTATTTCCATCCACCAACCCCTGCTCATGGGGGTGGAGCGTGCAGAACTCCACCTTCTATTAGGGGGATGGAGTCTGGAAAGCCTCACCTTCTACCATCTAGTTGGTTGTTATTGCCACCCAGTGGCCAGGAGGTTGTTCCTCATAGTTCTTTAGAGGTATAAATTTAAATAAAATCATTTGCATTATAAAGCCATTACAAATATATTAATATTCATTCACTAATTTAATTCCTCTTTCCATGTTTCACCAATCCACAAGCACGTTCTATAGTAATGACCCCCCCTAGTCCTTAACAATGGACCAGGGCAGATTTGGTTGGGAATTAACAGAGGTCGTTCTTAACTGAATTCTGCCTTTTCTGCACCCCACTCAGACTATGGTGAATCCTCTGCACCTCTGGTCTGAAGCCCAATTCTGTATGCATAAATAAATAAATCTTTTTAAAAAAATACTGAATTATATACCATGACAAAACTGGATATGGTGTAATACTGTTATAGGGCAGCAAATCTGTTCCAGGACAGGGGGAGAGGGGCACCCCTGAAGCCCCAAAACCTGCCTGCTCTAAGTGGGTTCTGCCATTTGCTGCGTCAAGACAAAACATATAAAACTTTAATGAAAAGGGACTTTAATACAGTAAATATACAGTACGGAACACAAAGAATATAACTTCTAAATCAAACACCTGAAGTTACCCATCCCCTCGTGGGCAAAAGTCAACCCAGAGGGATTGGCCCAAAGCAAGGCCTGAAAGCTGCCACTAGATTAAAGCACCTTCTGGCCAGGACCCATGGAAAAGGGTCAGAAATAGCCAGACAAATCTGGGAGCAAAAGAACAAAATCAAAATCAATATAAACACTGCCATAGTCACCTCCCCACTGGTCTCTCACCCACATCTCTTTCAACCAGTCCAGGGCCAAGAAACAAGCACGGTTTCTTCATCGCAGGCTTGCTGCTCCATGTGGCTTCCTTTTGGCTCTCCATCCTGCTTCCTTCTCCAGATTCCTTTTCTTCTCTGCTCAGCTCCACCCTCCTTCTGGGTGTGGCAGGGAACCTGGAACTTCTCCTTTTCATGGGGACCACCCTGTTACACTTCCTTTTTGGAATTGCTACCCATTGTTTACTTATAGGGTATGACTAAATTGACTTTTAAGGACCAGAGATTCTCTCTACAATGACCCTCAATCTCCATACCACCACCTCTGATAACTTTTTAAAGCAGATTCTTGCTATAGTATTTGACTCTTAAGGATTATTTTCTATAGTTGGTTTAATAACTATATTAATCATTTCTACCTCCACCTCCAGTATCAGATCCTGTGACTCCTCTATCCTAAGCCTCCCCATTGAGGGGTCTAGCAAATAGAGCCAGGATCTTGTATCAATCTATCTGTTTTTGTAAATTTTATTATTTTTACTGAGCTAAAATGGGTTTACTTACTACACTGTACCATTTAGTGGCACAGATTCACACCTCTTCAGAAGTATATTACTCGTAGGATTCAGATGAAGGGGTTTGAGTTATGGGTTCTTGGTTCTCTCTGAATTTTTCCCAAAGCTCATCAGATGTTCTCATCAGCACATGCAAGTTTATTGAGGAAAGGAGAACAAGGAGAGATCTCTGCATAGACACAGGGAATCAGTCTTAAAAGAGAACTGCATTGTACAGGGCAGGGGGCATTCTTCTATAAAAATTTTTTTCTTTGTAAAACCTATTACCTTGGGGTCAGGTTGGATAGATCTTCTAAAATCAATAATCCTCTCTGTTCCTACTTCTGGCTGAAGTGAATTTGGAGAGAGTAAGATTTGACCAGTTTGCTTAACAAAAAGGGCAGGAACTTACAAGTGAGTAATAAGATCTGGGCAGTTTGTGAAACAAAAGGAGCAGGAATTTACAAATGGAGGCCATAAAATTTGGCCTGTTTGCTTTCAGAAGGGACTGACAGGTAAATTAACAAGATTCCACCAGTTTATTTAACAAGAACCACTGGATCCTAACCTGTTAAAATTTTTTACAACTAATGGCACTCAGTACAAGATAAACTAATAAGATTTTAGGAGGTTTGATTTTGGATATGCATAGCTGTTTTCCTGGAAATGCTAGCTCAGTAATGTGGAAGTGGGTTGCAGCCATTGTGCTAAACTCCTGCCCTACCTCAGTCTTAGGAAAAGTGTTACAGGACAGGAAGAGGGACACCCCAGAACCCTGCCTGCTCTAAATAGGTTCTGCCACCTGCTGCTTCCAGACAAACAAATCAATAGACCTTTAATGAAAAGGAATTTTAATACAATTAGTATGTAACAAAGAAAAGGCAAAGGCTATAGTTTCCAAATCAAGCACCAGAAGTTACTCATCCCCTCTTGTATAAAAATTCACCCAAGCCAAATTGGCCCAAAGCAAGGCCTGAAAGCCTGCCACCAGTATAAAGCACCTTCTGATGGAACCCACAGGAAAGGATAGGAAAGAGCCAGACAAGTCTGTGAGGAAAAGAGGAAAATCAAAATCAAAGCTGCCATCGTCAACCTCCCCATTGGCCTCTCACCCACATCAGTACCAACCAGTCCAGGACTAAAAAGCAAGCACAGCTTCAGTACGTGTCTCTGCTCCATGTGCCTCCTCCAGGTCTGTCTGTATTTCTTCAAGACTTGAACCTGTCAATTGTTGTTTCATTGACTCCATTCAGACTTCTTTCATAATTTTGCCAGTGGAGCCATGCCAACCTAACTTAAGTGGAGCCTTCTAGATAACTTTGGTCTTACCCCACCTTTCATCAGACTAGCCTTGAGAGTTTTGGCTAATAACCAGCCTGCAACCCAGCTTCTGTCATAGGGAAGAGCATAGTGCCAGAAACATAAGGAAAACTTACCAGAAGCAGACTAGAGAAAAGAAAAGACAGTACTACTGAAATGCACTACCAACAAAAGCAGTGGAAGGGGGTGGGGGACTGCCATGTATATTGAGTATAGTAAGTATAGTGAGTCTCTATTTATACTTCAGGCATCATTGATTGGTTAGGGCGACCAGTCTTGTGTGTGTCCTGACTGGCATTCTTAAGTAGCATAACAAAACATCAGTTTTTAGACCATTGGCTTAATGTCCAGCATCCCTTGGCAGTCAGTTCTACTTCCCTTTACCCAATTAAGACTCCCAAACTTGCCTGCTGGGCAAAGGAATGGGACTTAGTTTTTAAATTTAGTAATGATACCAGACATAAAGAGTTTAATGATCAAATAATTTTGGATTTTCAGTTAAAATTAAATGTCTTAGCTTTTCTGATCTTCTCAGAAATTTGAATATAATTAACAGGCATTAATAAAATCCAAGAGCAATAAATAAATGCTGAAACTCATAGTATAAGATCTTCCTACATCATTCTTTTTTGTAGAGTATCTTTGAGACCAATAATCTAGAGAAAGAACATGCTTGGAAAACTGACTTAAAATGACTGCTCTGCTGAGAAATGTCGTCATTTCTCAGATTACTGTTTGTTCATCTTTTATATTTTATTCTTATAGAGAGTACAGAAAATAAAAAAGTCCCCACATATAGAGCTTTGTCAAACATATATTCCATGGTCCAGAAAATATTGGCAATAATTTCAGGGAATTAACCCTTTATTGGCAAATGAGCAAGTGAGCTTGGCTCTCTTAAAGACATTATCTTGGGAGAAATGCAGTCTCTTGTTATGTGGACTCTGTCCACAGGATTGTGACTTCTACTTTTTGCATAGACAAGGATCGTAGTTTAATGCTTAGGTAGAAAGAGGAAAGTGCATTTTTCTTTCATTATTGCTTTGATAAGCACTGCTGAAGAGACTAGATCCTGAAGGATAGAGTGGGTAGTATCTATAGGTTCTCCTGGAAAAATTCAATGTATGTTTAGGTAATGATGCTGCACTAGCCATGTCACTAGTGAATTAATGTTTTGATATTTTTTTCTTTTCTTCCAGATGTTTTCTGTAAGGTGGAAATGCCCTCCCAGTACTGCTTGGCCTTGTTAGAACTAAATGGAATCGGTTTTAGCACTGCAGAATGTGAAAGTCAGAAACACATAATGCAAGCCAAGCTGGATTCAATTGAGGCTCAGGCATATCAACTGGCTGGCCACACTTTTTCCTTCACCAGTTCAGATGACATTGCTGAGGTTGTATCATGGGAATAGAAAATTTAGAAAAAAAAATTTTACATTTGAAAATGTTTGGGTATATTTCCACAACATGTTTATCTAACCAACAAAAATATCAGTAAAATAAGGCAAATCAGAATACTT